CAATGAACTTTATTCAACGTCTTAACTTCACTACTATCTGTCTGGCCTTATTCTAAGACATTATGCTAAGATTCTGCCTTATTCTAAGATCTTAATTTACCGCATGTAAAAATGTGCAATAATTTCCATATTGTTGCGCGATGTGGAGTTCGTAGACATTGCCAGATAAAAATGTAAGAAATTAAAATATTTCTGAAATCAATATCTACTCATACATATCACACGTAATAACTAGTACCAGTAATTACTCATACAAATAAATATCGCAAGGAGAGAAGCAGAAATAAGACATAACGTGCGAGGAATATCGCAGATTACTGAAATCACTCACAGATCAAAGCAAGATGCTATCTAAAAACGCAGTCGCAGAGTCTAGATTAACTAACTGAGCTAACTGAGTCACAACTGCTTACAACCTCTTATGTAAAAGATGGCTCAAAATGCATGGAGAGAAATAGCTTTAAAGCCTCGGAAAGAAACGCTGATAGAACTTCGAAAACATATTTTCCAGGGACTTCCAAATTATCATTTAAGTTATCGAGAAATCCACAAATTTTCCAGCATCCATTAGGAAGTTTTCAGCCCATAAGGTTGGTTCTGCTTAAGCTATCCATATATCAAATGTCAGTCGACTCAATATTAAAAAGAACAACTTAGTATATGAAATAAACATATACAAATGAATTAATTCTATTGAACAAAAATACACGATAATCATAATGATATAATACTCAAAAAGTAAATAAATAAACAAAAACAATACCAAAATATATGAAAAACAAATGCCGTGGAAATAATCACAAATATTTACGGAATTTACAGGAATAATTCTTCGTGGCTAATAACACATTAAATGCAACAATTACAGTGAATTACATAACATGTGGTCTCCATGAAATGCTTCACTACATTTTTGCTTCGAATTTGAATACAGTTCAAAGTCCGTAATACGGACGTCCATTATCTGGAATGATCTATAATCCGGACCTCAAAGCCACAAACTTGAACAGTGGAACTTTGTAACTGAACAAGAAATTATGTCTGTTTATAGAATTAAAGAGAAAGTATTAGCACAAAAAAACGAAGGAACTTAAACAACTTACATTGAAAGAAACGTTTAATAAAGTAAACAAATAAATATTAAGCTTTTTTTTTTTTTTTTTTTTTTTGTAAATTTTGATACCCTTTAGATCATAATTGCTCTTTATTTCATAAATTACGGTTTCATATTTTTAATTGTATAATTTCTGCATGCCATATTACCAGATTTAAATTGACGATCTATAATCCGAAAAAACCCCTAATCCGGAATCGCCGAAGTCCCGACGAGTCCGGATTACGGACTTTGTACTGTACTAACTTTTTCAGTGATTCTCAATATAACTTCCACCAATTTGGATGTATTTCATGAGATAATGCGTCCATTGTTCTTCAACTGAAATCAGAATAATTGTCTCAAAAGTCTGAGGAATAACAGTTTCAAGTTCAGAGTATCCGATGTTTCAAGAATCAGTGTATTGCAAGTGTATTTGCTTTGATGTCTCAAGAATCAGTGTATTGTTTTTTAATTCAAGTTGAAATTATCGGAAATCTCTAGAATCAACGTGTTACAAGTTCAGGGTCGCATGATGGTCGCTAAGCTATGTGCTTACGCTATGTGTAAGGGTCGCTACGCTATGTGCTTACTTCCACGCCTATCGAAATTTTTTGCAGTTTTTCGTTGCTCTGCGTTGGCAACACGCTTTGGGATTTGTTGTCGATAGAATCGGTCGCTAGAATGTAGCTGACCTACAACTGTTCTAATTCTTATTTTAAAACTTTGTGATTGGATTATTACTAAATGTTCACGTATGAATATTTTATTATTAAGTGTTTACAGTTTGGTTTGAATAAACTGAAAGCATCATTCTAATACAGAAACGCAAACAAAACTATGGTCGCTAAAGCAACATTGAATCTTTTAAAGACGATTTAAGAATGCTCTTTAATGCAGTCATATCTGACTTCGGAAAATGCATTAAGAATATTTTGAACATTGTCATTTGCTGTTGTTTAAGTGAAAGAACTTCAGAAAATTTAAGATTAATTATAAGAGCTACGCTATGGTTTAATATCGTTATCTTGGTTGAGCATAAAAACGTTCCAGGTATTATTAATTTTATCGTACATTAGGAGCGCGTATTCACCTGTTTGCTCAGGATGAAAAAATACCTAACCCCGGCTCTGATCAATGTAAACAAAAAACGTACCTGAAGTTAATGGATATTTTAAAAATTTGTGGCACAAACAAAGACGTTTGAATGAATTTTTACAGTTTCAGAAAATTATAGATAAGAAGATTAAGCAGAAAATGACAAATATTAAAAAAAAAATATATTATAAAATAAAGTTCAAGGTCCTAAAATAATTAAAACTTTCACTGCTTGCTTAATCGAAAAGCAATATTTTTATGGCTTGATTTGTTTGATAATAGCAAAGCAATCGAGAGCTATCTACCTAAAGGGAGGGATGACTACGTGGAGGTCGTTATAAGGGAAACTGTACCGTACACAAGTTACGCATGAGGAAAACCACGGCAATGCCTATGCAGGGAACGCGTTCGCGGGATTCGAACCTCAGACCCGAACTACCATTGTGTAGCGACTTTACCACTCGGTCTCTGGTGAACTAATTTTTTTTTAACATCTATTATGCTTATAACTGAAATCAAAAGATGATTTTTCTGGCCGCAAAGGATTACGCCTGTTCTCAGTTCTCATTTGAGATTCTGTAAGAATAAAAGCCTTTGAATTTTACAAGAAATGCTTGATAATCAGTCTAAATTCTGCCAAAGCTGAAATATTTACTCTGAACGTTTAAAAACTGTTTCTGATAAAAAAAAAAAAAAAAAAAATTACATAACTTTTAAACATCAAAATTTTTCAAAATTGCCACATTTTTTTCCCCCCACCATAATTCGGAGACGGAGGGGGCTCGAGTGTCCAGGGCACTTTCCTGATAATGCACAAAATTTATATCATTTAAAGAATAGAATTACCTAATCGTTGCCACAAGTTCTATTCAAATACTATAATAAAGCTAGAATGATGTATAAAAGAAATTAAGCAAACAAAACAAAAAAGAAACAGTTTTTCACAGACGATTGAGTATTTCTCATTTCATTAATTCAGTTCTCACTTCGCGAGAAGGCAAAAATACATAAAAACTCAAAATATCTATATTAAAAATTACGAAGTAAATTTTAAACGCTTATTTCCTCGAAAAAAATTCCAGAAAGGATTAAGCGTGATTTAAATAATAAATGAAGGCGTTATCTTTGTTGTTGCGAAGCTAAGTTTCTCTAGATTGGCAACAAATCCACTAGTCTCCTGTTTCAAATGTAAACATCAATGGCCGCCATTAAAAAAGGCTTAGCGGCAATTAAACAACATTAAAATTGCTGATAATTCTATAAATATTGCACACAGATTTACTAAAGGCATAAAATCCTTAACCGGAAGATAAAAACAACATAATTCAATCATTTTTAAAGCAAAAAATGTACAATTTACAAACATATAAGAGTAAAGAAACTGAGATCACTGAGCCGGGTAACAGAGTGGATATATATATAAATATATTTATATACGTTTGGTGCGGCCGATTGCAACCAAATACGAGGTGCACATCTACATGTTATAGCAGTCCTATATACAAAATTTCAACGTTCTGAGGCTACTCGTTTTTGAGTTATGCGAGATACGTACGTTCGTACAGACGCCACGAAAAATTCTCTTTCAGAATTAATTTTAAAGCAGTTTTGATGAGCCGGGTAACAGAGTGGATATATATATAAATATATTTATATACGTTTGGTGCGGCCGATTGCAACCAAAATACGAGGTGCACATCTACATGTTATAGCAGTCCTATATACAAAATTTCAACGTTCTGAGGCTACTCGTTTTTGAGTTATGCGAGATACGTACGTTCGTACAGACGCCACGAAAAATTCTCTTCAGAATTAATTTTAAAGCAGTTTTATAATTTTTTTGAAGGAAAAGAGTATTTTATTCTGTCTTTACGTACAGATAGATATCACGCAAAAACATCGTTAAATTGCATTTGATAGCGGTCAAAATGGATATTTTCGTTGAAATATGCTGCCTGAAACTTTTCGCGATTACAATACTTCCTTTTTACTTCGTACAAGGAAGTAATAAAAAAACACTCCTTATGAATCTACTGTTTCGCGCACGATCTAAAATGCGCTGGACAATAGCAATGGATTCGATCCTCAGCAAGAACACGGTTGAGTTTTTTAATTGCCGCAAAAGGCCTAATAACGCTGCAATACTACCTGTATTCGTTTTAAAATTCAAATTTGAAAAACAGCGTCAGTTAAACTTACGTAAACGTTTTTCAGTCACTTTTCTGTAAAAATAGATTCCCCGTTAAATAAACACTTTAGTGAAATAATTTAATCATTAACTGCCTTATTTTTAGAATTACCATGGTCATCGCAATGTTCCACATAATCGCAATTAAATCTGATACGTGGCTTTTCCCCAAAGCAAGCAAAATTCACATAATTTTCTTACGTCTTAAAACTGCACATACTAGCCAATTATTTATTCAAGAGATAAATTTACGTCGCACCGTTCTTGACCTTTCACCGCTTATATTTTCAGGGCCCACTGTTGATGAAAGAGAATAATAAACAACAAGCATTAAAACAAACACCGTTTTCTAAAACTCGCTAACGAATTCATTATCACCGTCCAGATAAACGATTTTCTTCCTTTATTCGATAAAAAGTCCATCCTTCCCAGAAAGCAGACGATTCCCACGAGCCGATCATCGATTCGGGGTCGAACTCAACAATGGACCTCACTGTCTTGACCGTAGCCTCAACTCGCGTAGGAAGAGAGGAGTGAGGCGACGTCTGGCCCAGCAGCAGAGGCACGCGCCGTGAGGACGCCTCATTCCCCCATCCTCTTTACCTTCCCTCCCTTTTCCTTTCTCCATCCTCTCTGAGACATCCCAACTCGGGATCAGTCAGCTGTTGTTAGAGCTGGAAGTTGGTGGTAGTTTCTTACATCTCTGGATTTATTGGAGTTGTGTTCAAGCAACGTTTGGCATATTAGTATAGAAACTATTTTAATACTTGGACAGTCTACTTAAAGTAGCCTTCCTTGTAATATTTATTTTCATTCATTGTCCAACCATGATGCAAAAGGCACCTCCACCTGTTGTTAGAATCTTGGTACTTGGAGCACAAGACGTTGGTAAATCTGGTAAGTAGAATTATGTATACTGTATTGACACGAATAATAAGTTAGCGTGTTCTGCCCATCTTTGCATAACATGCGTTTTTTAAACTCACAATCGTCTCATGTATGCCTTTCATTACTAAAACGGTTTATTCTGTGCGAGTTGTTTTCTAATATAGTTTCCATAATTTTTACCTTTGAAGGAAACTTCTTTACTTACTTTTACTTACGTGAATGTGATCTTCAAACATCTTAATTTTTTTTTCTGGCAGAAACATCTTCATTATAACATGAGGAATACATAAGGCTGGGTTTTTTTTAGTCCAAAGGGACTTTGTCCCTAAAGAACTATTGTTTTCGTTTTACGATTTTGCGTTGGTTCACTATAAATGCCCGTTTCACTTTTCAAACGGTTGCCACCAAATGTTAGAGTCCTGCTTTATATTTGAAGAAATTAAATAATGAAAAATCTGCATAAATGCATGTATATTTCTCGCATTGTGATAAATTAACGGTACATAGAGTCATCGAATTTTGAATTACGTAATCCTACTGCGAATATGGGCATGTGGAAGCCCAAATTTGAAATTTGGAATTTGACTTATTATCAATTTCATATTTTGTATAACTCTAACGAATTTTTGATTAACAAACTCAAGGATTTCAAAGCGAGCCATGGCAACGTTGTACAGAAAATACATTTTTATCTCCAACGCGCGAGGCTCTGAATCGGAAATTCTAAAGCTATGCTGAATTTAAAACTATTTTGCGATATTGCTCTTGAACTGAATTTTATGGTTTAAGTGCGAAGAACGTGATATTTAATAAACAATGGTAACAGACAAAATGTTAAAAAAACGCTCCTTTGGACGTAATTTAAAATCTGAAACTTTTCAGATTTTTATTTTTTTAAATTATTTTCTGTTATATCTCCTTGCGAAGCATCTCCAGAATATGGAAACAGTTTTAAAATGTAAAAGTTTTTCCCCCGCCTCTTAGGAAGGAAGAACAGATGCAGTAATGTTAAATGTTGCTTGCTGCATTATAAAAATTATCACATTCCCGATGCTTGTTTTTATTATGTATACGTGGGTAACACGTCGAGCTATCAGTTGGAAGATCCGTAATTGAAATGCTAGTTGGATTTTAGTGTGGGGTTTTTTTTTTAAATGTTTTTTGGTCCTAACTATCTAATTCGTCTTTAGTGACTGATGAACTGAAAACGCGATTCACACTTCGGTTGAAGCTTGAAAAATTGTAGTTATTATTTAAAATAAATTCAGTTACTGACTTTACATCATTAAGTAGGCCCTTCTTTACCTTGCCATCAAGTCTTTGATACGCTTTTGAAGACCAGGGCCCCAGACCTCGTATCATACTACGTGTTTACGATCCTGTGTTAGAATGGCGCCGAAATGGATGATGTAGTTTCGATTTTAAATATTCTTAATTAATTCAATCACTCTCGGTCTATTTAGACCAAACTGAATACATTTAATAATAAAACATTATACGTAAGCATTTAGTAATAATTCAGCAATACAAATAAGTTTTAAAATAAGAATTACAGCCGTTACAGGTCAGCTACGCTTTTAGCGACCATATTCTACGAACACAAATCTCAAAAGGCGTGTTGCCTAAGCAGGGCAACGAAAAGGTGGAAATTAATTCGATAGGCGTGGAAGTAAACAGTATGCATCGTGAAAATTTTGGTGAAGTTTACGCTTATTACGCTACCGCAATAATCGTTAAATTTCAGCCTGACCGAAAACAGGTTCTGTGATTTAAAATCAATCAAGCTACTTTGTTTTGAGATTAGCATTAGAAAATGTTCTAGTTTCATGTTTTATTAAGTATTGAAAAGCTAGTTCTTTACTAACATAAAAAAAAATCAGCTAATCTCTTTGCAATGAAGGTTTATGATTTTCAAAGGAAAATCTATCTTTTTTTTTACCTACTCTTAAAATGTTTATTAATTGATCTGTACTCTGAAGATTTATCATAATCTTAATCAATTTTAGTATCTTTTAATTAATTTATTGTTTGTTATAAATCAAAGAATGTTATAAAATAACTCAATATATATATTTATTATTTTTTTATCATCTATTTGAACATGTGTGTGTTTATTGTTACAGTACAAAAAATTGGATTTTACCGTTTTCTCGTTACCGTCTCATTTACTGCTCATCATAATGTCACCAAATCCCGTGTGTGCCGTATACTAGGATTAAACCGAATTCCGCCATGCAAGGTATAAAAGATTCCGTGTACGTTGCAGACGTTGGAGGAAAATACAAATTTTTACGGACATAAATTTGAACGATGGTTCAAATCTTTAACGATGGTTTTAAATCTTTTGGGAGCAAAAACTAATCAAGTGACAGATGCGTAATAAATACGAATTGTTAACCACTCCTTTAACTAAACTATCTCCAGCCGTTTACAATAGTCGTAGTTTTGTTTGCAAATGCACAACGATTCGACAACAGCCGTTTGAGGGTGTACATCTGTCTGGTGAATTTTAAGTTTAATTTGCGGGTTACAATGATTTAAAAATAGTTGTAAACTCTGAGCTTTCAAAGACGTTATAGCAGACGTCTGAAAAGATGGGCGTTGTTAGACATAAGCGAGATAACGTCTGTCTGGTCTGTGTAAAAATTTAAATTCCAGTGTTTCCATTCACGTTAGAAAATAATAATAATTATATTTATTAAGTAACGAAATAAAAAAAAGGAAAAAATATTAACTCTAAAATTACGTTATTTCTTTAAAATTTAGAAAAGGATAAATATAAATTTTATGACATTTAAATATAATTTATTTATCAGAAATGCCTATATATTGCTCTTCCACTAAATATCAGAGAGCTTCAAAAGATTGTTTATTTTTTTTACCAGCAATTTGTAGCCAGCTCTCCATTAACCGAGACGCAAATTTACCAGATTGAAGATTAACTGTACCTGCTCTCCCCCCCCCAAAAGTTTATTCATTGTGAAACGAAGGAATAACAAACAAATCGCAAACCGTCAGCGTAAAACAAGAAAGAGAAGAACAATCGTTTGGATAACAGCAGGAAAGCAGATGATGACAGTTTATTTGAGAACTGATTTTTATATACAAAAGTACGTAATCCGGAATATATAAATTTTGTATAATTAAAAAGTTTAAACGACTTTCTTAAAGCGAAAATTTGAGTTCCATGATATTAGCCAAGTTCTTATGTTTTTGATGCCATTTTTAACTTATTTTCGCTTTTCTAATGACATTTAATTCTTCCGTTATATTTAATTTTCATAACTAACTGAACTTACTGCTGCGGTTGTACTTTTTGAAAATATAGTAAATTTTTAGTAGCGTCTTTCTGTGAATTATATTTTCTTTTTTTTTTTTTTTTTTTTTCTTTCCTGCTTTTTTCTTATGCTCTTAACCGGGGTGTTAAAGTTAAACTTGGACATTGTCCTCTCCCTATTACCTTGATAAGTCTTAAGCTTACATGTCGAATTATGTTTTTCTCTGGAAACATAATTATTTAATGTTTTTCAAAAATTTACAATAATTCTACATTTATATTTACTCGCTTCGCTGCAACGTTCATGTATTTGTTAAGAGTTTGGGTGTTTTTCCTGTGTACATACTGCGATGACAATATTATTCATTGAAACTTCGGGAATCAACAGGTTTTAATTATCATTTTTTAATTTTAGAAAATTATAGCTCCTACTCGTGGAAAAAGAAATGTCTCGATGACCACGCTGACGTCATCAAAGTAGTATAGCCAGCAGTTCAGTAACAGTGGAATGTTTGCAATTGCTACGAATCATAGTCTAAAGGAAAAGTACAGAAAATTATGCACTCTTTCGTAGGGACTACCTCCTTAAGATGACCACCTCTGAAAGAGATCAGTATTTCTGAAAATAGAACAAGCAATGATACTAAACACTAAAACTGTAAGACGACAGACAGCCTCCACAGACGGGGGGGGGGGAGAGAAATAAAAAACATTAGTAGCTATACTGTACATGATTGTCGATGGTAGATTGTGTTGAAAAGTGATGAGTAGCTAAACTTTCAGCTGACAATCAAATAAATAAATAAATAAATAAAATAATAAAAAAAAAAACCCAGACACTTTTAGAATACAGCACAATTTTGCATAGAAATTAAAGCAATAATTTCTATGCCAGAAAAAGCAGTAGTAATAATAATAATTTAAGAATTTTAACCTATAGTTCCATGACAGGTATGGATTCAGATGACAGTTTTAGGTGATGAATTGAGAAATCGTCTAATAATTGTATTGAGAATAACAAAGAACATTCTTATTCACAAATTTCGATTTGTCGAATAAACTACATTTTGTCATGAAAAGTAACACAATAGCATTTTAACCTTCTTAAGAATTTTTGTCATGAAAAGTAACGCAAATAACAGCATTATAACCTCCGTAAGAACCATCTTAGTTCTATTTATTACAAAGAAAAATATTTTACACCCTTTTTCTTGAATTTTGCGTGGAGCGCCATCTGTGGGTCATTCAGTGAAATAATTTCTGTAAATTTCAAGTCTGTTCGATTTCGCAAAGGAGGAGAGTAATTTTATTTATACTCTTATCATTTCTAAATTTACTTCTTAAAATTTTCTTTTAAAATTTAGATCCTTTTAATTTTTGCATTCATTTTTATCATTTTATTATATATTTTCATGCAAGGGCGCAGAATGAAAGGAATTATGAACCCAGGGTGACGATTGCAAAACGTTTTTACCACTTTAATTATTTATGGAGGGTTTTTTTAATGATGGTATGTGACGTTTATGGAATGTTTCATAGGCAAACCCGGATGTAGGCCACCTGGAGACTGCATTTCCGAACTCGCGTCACTGTTTCTTCCTTCCGGTAGCGGAAGCTATTCGACCTTGACAGTTCCAAATCTTTTATGTAATTCTCCCTCTTCTATATCTTTCATGCAATGACATCATTAACTGCCTGGCGCCGGTGGAAGTTTTATTTACTTTTTCTTTCA